AAACCCCACCAGCCGTCGTCGTGTAACCCCCGACGATTCACCGTTCCCGGACATCCCTGAGGGAGAGCCTGACAACGAACCAGTCGAGCTCATACCTCCTCCTCCAACTCCTCCTCCGGAACCTGCTATGGTCCCACACCCTCCTCAAGCTCCACCCAATGCCGAGCCTGAACCAGAGCACGAAGCTCCGCCACCGCCTCCAGTCGTACCAGGTGCACCGCCACGTGCTCCTAACCACCGTCGTAACCGTCATCCTACTGTCGAAGACGTACCTGATGTCGATGCTGGTCCTCCACCACAACCTCAGCGCCCTCAGCGTCATGGTGCAGGACAGAATCCGCATCGCAACAGGGACAACTTCTACGGTGACGAACCGCCTGCACGCGTCGACGCCAGGACACGACGAGACGGACAGCTACGTACAGCTGAAGAGCGCGAGTACTTCAATCTGCTCAACACAATCATCAATCACGCTGCGCGCAAGAAAGGCATCCCTCAGTCCTACCGCGAAGCGCATAACTCTCCTATGAGTGATGAATGGTTCAAGGCTGAAGCTTCAGAGTACAATTCGTTGATGGAAAATCGAACCTGGGTGCTCGTACCTCGCCCCAAGGGTCGTAACGTCATCGGATGTCGTTGGGTGTACGATATCAAGCACAATGGTCGAGTCAAGGCTCGCCTCGTAGCTAAGGGCTATACGCAGAACTGGGGAGAAGACTACTTCGAGATTTTTTCGCCTGTATCAAGGAACAAGTCGACCCGCTTCGCATTTGCACACGCCGCGCTCGAAGACTGGGATATCGACGCCATGGACGTCAAAACTGCGTTCCTCAACGGCGAGCTCAACGAGGAGATATACATGGAGCAGCCGGAAGGATGGGTTGAAGCTGGCAAAGAGGACTACGTCTGTCTGCTCAAGAAGGCCATCTACGTCTGAAGCAAGCCTCTCGCCAGTGGAACCTCAAAATCCACGACTCGCTTATCAAATTGGGATTTGTCCGCACGTACTCAGATGCCGGAGTCTACGTTTATCGTCGACAAGGGGGTGTTCCAGGCGAAGTCACGCTGATTGTTCTATATGTCGACGATCTACTTGTCATGGGCAATTCACGCACGCGCATCGACTTCGTCAAGGACTCACTCAGCAAGCAGTACAAGATGACTGATCTAGGACCGGTGCAACATTCCTCGGTACTCGCATACGTCGCGATCGCGTCAAACGCATCCTCGACATCACCAGGAAGAGTACATCGACGCCGTCCTCGAGAAGTTTAGCATGTCTGACTGCAACGCTGCTTCCACTCCTCTCCCCGCTGGTTGCGTCCTCGTCGCTCGACAGGATGAAGCACCTGCAACCCTTCGTCGGGAGTACCAGAGCCTCATCGGCAGCCTTCTTTACGCCATGCTCGGTACTCGTCCAGACATTTCCTACGCTGTCACGCGTCTCTCCAAGTACAACGCCAATCCGTCTGAAGATCACATGCGTTACGCCCGCTACGTCCTTCGCTACCTCCGTGGTACCTCGCACTATCGTATTCGTTACGATGGAAAGGATGGCGCCGGCATGATCGCGTACTCGGACTCGGACTGGGGAGAAGACCGCGACGACAGGAAGTCGACAACCGGCTTCGTTTTCCTGATGGCAGGAGGTGCACTCTCCTGGGTCTCTCGCCGACAACGCACAGTATCCCTCTCCTCCACCAAGGGGAATACATGTCCGCGTCAGACGCTTGCCGTCAGATGAAGTGGCTTCCACTTTCGGTCGTGAAGTTGGTGACGATATGTCAGTCCTACACCACTCTGCATGGACAACCAGGGATCGATTTTCCTCTCTGAAAACCCTGCGTTGACCGTCGCACGAACACATCGACATCCGCTACCACTTCATTCGTGAATACATCGAGGAAGGCGAAGTTACTCTCTTTCACGTTCCTTCTGCGGAGCAGCTAGCGGACTCGCTTACGAAGTCAGTTCCTCTTTCGATACTCAAGTACTTCTGCGAGCACGTTGGTTTAGTTTCATCCGCGTCTTGAACGAGGGGGTGTGTTGAACATTGGATATCGAACATACGTACATTAGGACAGTTTACGCATCCACATGGACTCTGTGAGAGACTTCCCATAGTTCCATATGTCACTTCACTGCCTTGTAGTTCCTTATCTCTTCCATTTCGTTCTTCTACGCTTCTCTCTTTGTTCCCTTGTTCCACTTACGGACTTTCTTTGTCTTAGCGCACAGCCCGCACAGCATCGTATCCATCTTCTGTCCGGTCTGACCTCTGCGCCAATTATGTCTTCCCATCACTGCTTACGTATGTTACTCCTGGACAGTATATAGGGAGGACTCTGGCTCGCTCTGCTCTTCAGTTGTTCTATCACTGACTGAGGAGTAAGTACCTACACTTCTATGCGCTCCTTACACATATGCTTACTGTATCTGTAGTCGCTCCTCTTCGTGTGCTTACAGGTACTACTTATGCCCTCAATATAGTCGTTCTATCACTGACTGAGGATCGCTCCTCTTCGTGTGCTTACAGTCGGTTCCCTGCCTTACTCAGAGTTCATCAAACATTCAGACAGAAAATCCCACATAATAAGGGCTTACATTGACTAACGAGAATTCTCAGATACTTAGGAGGGGTCACTGTGCCTGTCAATCAGAGATTCCATGAGTACGTGGTGTAGACGAGGGGAAGAGTCTGCGTCACCGAGTCACTGAAGGCGGCCCGGTGGTGGGCTCAACTCGGTTCTGCAGCCATGTATGGGATCACGTGGTCACCTTCGTCCTCTTCGCTCCAACCTCTTCGATCTGTCAGTGATCTACCAGTGATCATTCAAAGGTCGGTCACTGGAGAACGTATGATCATTCGCCCCGTTAGAGGTCCAAGGCGGTCTATCTCTATCACGCTAAGATAAATGTTGATCACTAGCTGTCACATCGAGTTTATATGATCCACTTGGGATTTTACGACAGAATACGAACATATCGCGATCGACCGGCGCTTCGCAGATCGCCCACGGTCAGAATTACCCGCATTTAGCGATGCACTGCCGCCCGGCACCTTACACGCGCAAAGCGCGCCGCACGCTGCGTGGACAACGACGCCGCCCCCCTCACCAGGGTAAGGCTATGTTCCTCCACCACGAACGGCTACGACGAAGTCGCCCACAGACAGGGGGAACGATGGCGGGGTAAACCCGCTTGTACGTGAGCCCCGGCGTAAGTAAGTCGACGTTGGGATTGTGCCCCTGGAGCGGGGTGGAGGGAACCCCTAGCTCACTGGTGGTCGATTCGGCATCGCTCCTCCCCTCCGAATGGAGTGAGGGGACGCGTATGTACTGTACCACACATTGCAGTGAGGACTTACACACTCATCCCTCAAGGAGACACACTGAGGTGTCTCTTGGGCGCCTAACCACCAGGTGGTGGTAGGAGGACAAGAGAGGCCTCCTCCGTAGAGCTTGAGAACCATAGCTGCGTGTAGCGGGAGGTGCAAGAGTGTGTGTGCGAGAGATGGGCCTTCATAGCAATGGCGCTTGGCCAGCCCAATTTGATGGATTTATAATGATATTCAAATGATCGAAAAGGATTCCGATGACAAATCGTTCAGACTTTCGACCAATCAGGGTATGTATCCCGACGACTGTGAGGAGCTGAACCACTTGGCTCCCGACGACTTCTCCCATTAATCCAAGAACATCCACGATCCAGCGCTCGTCTCCTCTACTCACAGCCGTGGTTTGCGACCCCGCGTCCACAGACTCGTGCCAATACTACCCTCAAAACCGCCTCTTATACCACGGTCACATCCGACAAGGACGCTGAGTTGCCAGAACTCTGTCCAGAGGGGCTGCGGGCCTTGAGGCGATGAACACAGACGGGTGCGTCGCCGCTTGGATCCGTGCGGGGCACGCATTGAGGGCACTTTATCTTCCCGCTCGCATGCAGCCACGATCTCCACGATCGATGCATACAATTCCCGAACGCCTCCCGATGCATGTCATTTCCGAGCTAGTACTCGCCCGGTGTGCTCGATGGTGAGTCATCCATCTACCGCCCTTGCACCCCCTTCTCACGGCGCGTCCAGACTCGTGCCCACGTTGGCTGAAGAGTGCCCCGCGCGGTTGTACCGGAAGACGTATGCCGTGCTTACCTTCCACGCACCTCTCGTCTTTCAATCGCGCCGAAAGTGCAGAAAAATGTTCGGGTCAGAGCCCGTAGAAGCTCACGGACGCGACGAACGTCATCTTCGAGTACGCGAAGCCAGAAGCCGCTCCCAGCCCTACCTCGGTCGTCCGTCTTGAAGATGAGTGAGCTATTTTGCATGAGATGGAAGCCAAGGCGGCGGAACGGTCGGATGCGGGCGAGCTGGGAAGACGCCATTGTTGGGAAGGAGCTGGAAGGATTCCGTGCCGAAGGTCCAAGTCATACGAGTTGCGCGAAAATGAGGTAGTGACGATGGCTTGGATCTCGTACGTGTATTTCGCTTGCGATCTACCCCTTTGCTCCTTCTCTCGTCCAATTTTGCGTTTGTCTGCTCACTATATGCTGTGGTTCAGGTGCACTCCTGCCTTATATCCACATATGCGCGGTCGTCTCCACGGCCTCGACCCTGTTATGCTGCGCCCCTTTCACACCGCACTCGCAGCCGTCACCTAGTAAGTCGCTGGTGTCAAGTAGCTCGTCAAGTCTCTGAAGTACCCCCTCGAAACAGAAGAGGGCTACACGCAGCGTCAGTACTCTATCGAGGTCTTCAACCATCTCAAGCCTGGAGGTCCTCGTCGATGCGGAGAATGGCCCTGAGACGGAGGTCGGTGATAGCGGCGACATTATGGGTTCCATCGCTCACGATGGTTTGCTGCTAGTTATCGCGGTTGAAATGCACCGACCGCCCCGTAGTCCGTCCCGCTTTGGCCTCCTCTCGGTTGTTCCGTCGACCTTAGCCACGTCAACGGCCCTAGGACACTTTGCAGTGCTAGCTCGACACGATACGGCGTACCATGGCCAAGACCCTTTCGAAGGTTGCGACAATCTGGTTGATCTACCTGGATATCCAATGGTATCTTCTCAGCCAACGACCAGAAAACCTCAATGACCGTGGCTACCACATTCTTCTCTGTCCCACGCACGCCTTCTGCCTCGGACCGCGCTTCCATTCGCATTCTGACGCCCTAGACACAACATATGAAGAATGGCGCGTGGAGACTTCGCGCAGTGCTATGAGCTCGCTCGTCGCCCCTTGGAGGGCAACTACGTATGCAATGCCGCACATTTCCCTCCACGATTGTACCCGATTTCCACCCTGTCGTCTCTATGCACTCGCTGCAGCCTGCTCCTTCCCTATCGCCCCAGCGACCTCTCGAGGTCAATCGACTTCTTCCTCCCCGAGAAGCACGCACAAGGATGACAACGTCCCGGCCCGCTTCGACGCCCGATGCGGACACGCGTACCTCGCCGCGGGTTCCCTCGCGACCCTCACGACCGAGACCCTGCAAGACACCTCCTTTTAACCTTGTTTGCCATCCACGGCTCTGCACGGTCGACGATCCCCGACGTCGACAGGCGGGTGCTCGCCGCGGTCCCGCGATCCGTGCAGTACGCGTGCACGAACCAGGCGGTCCGCCTCTCGCAGTCGTACAAGGACGCGAAGTACGGGGTGATGGCGGCGCTGACCGAGTTCACGAAGACGGACGCGTGCCTGGTGTGGGTGGAGACGATGGCGTGGATGGGGCGGGGAGACGACGTTGGGCGGGCGCTGGAGACGGCATGCGAGTGGCTGGTGCGTGCTCGTTCGCCATAGTCGTGAGCCTTGGTGCTGACGCCGTTGGGACAGAGTTTTGGGTCCGTGAAGCTACGGCCGAAGAGCCTGCGGGCGTGGGTTGGCGAGCATGTGGAGACGTCGAAGGAGTACCCCGATGCTGTGTACGAGTATAAAGTGTATAAGGGTACTTTTTTGCTTGACGTTGATATAATCGTGCTGATCCGTGTGGTATAGCTTCGCTGCCTCGTCGTCAAAGCTCGGCCTCGTCTGAGGGCCAGAAGGCGTGGTGAGCAGGTCGAGACTGCAGAGATCACGTACCAACGATCAGGTAGTGAGTATATTGCCTCTGTGGACAACGGTACGTTGTCTCACAGTGATTCGCTTGGTCTGATACCTGTACTTACGCTTTTCTACCTCGCCATAGCCTCGGGGGTTACGCAGCCTAGTGGAAGACTGCGGCGATGGCGCACACTGACATTCCGGCCCAAGTCATGGCTGAAATGATTGGACGGTGTACTATACATCATAAGGATGTGTATACATGCTGTTCGTTCAACTCCGAATATGGGTGGAAAGGCGGTCCGCGTGGTCGGCGCTCGTGCCGTAGCCAAGCTTTCCGCCGCCTGCAGCCTGCGGGTCTCCTCGTTAGTTGAGTCTGATTCGTGACGCTTTGTGGATCGCGTCGTCGCTGGGAACCGCGCGCGCGGAGGCGGAGTATCTCTGCGCAGATGAAACGGGACGTCCCTCGGCGCGCGAGATCGGAGCGGGCTCTTCATTTGCTGCTTTTGCCGTTATGCAAGCTTGCCAAGCACCGAGCGGTGGAGGAGAAGAGGAAGAGATGGGGGATTCCGCCTTTCGCGCACGCACGGGCGCGGGCTGTGTACAGAATCGGGAGCCAAGCAGACGCCGTGCGCTGACGGGCGGCTTCCGCGCGACAATCTCGCGTCCGGGCACGGCGGTTGTCGCGGGCCCCCTCCGTGCAAATCGTTGGTGCAGGTTGTGCGCGGCGCGACGCGATGCAGATTTCCGTCGTCCGCTACGGCCCGCCGCGCCTTCTTCGGCCGTACGGACGGTCGGGGACGTCGGGGACGTCGGTCCGCGCGCGTTGGGCAGAATGGCCTGTGAGCGATGCCGACATTGACGGCATACATTTCAACGCGAGTGAGAGCGCGCTGGCGTCCGAGGGTCAAGTCATGGCGATTTGGGTGCGCATGGCCGGATGGCATGGGTGGCCGCTGCTGGAGTCCGGCCAACATATGGGCAAGGCGATGTCGGAGTGTCGATCGCAGTGGCAGATTCACCTGGACGGGCATCTCCGCATCCCTTCCTCGCTCGCGGCCTGGCGGGAGGAACGGTGCGCGCCTGATCAGAACGTGAACGTGCATCCATGCGAGGGCGGAGACGGAGATCGCGCTGGGAGTTTGTGCGCTGTTTAGTTGGCAAGGGGTCTGGGCGTGGTCACACTGCAGGTGTTCATGCCACCCACGCATCCAGGTGCGACGGACGCGAAATGCCATGACGAAGGCCTTGTTTTGCAAGAAGGAACAAAGGTGGATCACCACCCATTATACATCTCAAGGCGTTCGAACTCACCGCGTCCAGTTCTGACCTTGCAGCAATGCCTCGCGCAGTCCGCGCGCCTACGCGACCCATCCACGTCTTGGCCACCAATCCGCACGAGCCACCTTGACATCTTGAGTGCAGCTGTCTTTCCTGCAACCATCTCCACGCACCGCACGGTACCCGCCCTTCTGCCCTTCTGTTCCCCGTCGGACAGGTCGCGGGTCCCCAGTGTCGGTGACGCGCTCGTTGCGCGGGCGCGATCACAGCCCACGTCGCGCGCGCCCCGCGCGCCATGCCTTCTCGCGCAATCCCCGCTCTGTGCGCACGCGCGCTCGGGTCGCTCGTTCGCTCGCGCGTCGCGCGTAGTGTCCACCCCTCGCGAGCGCTCCTGTGGGTGTATAAAACAGTGAGGGGGCGGGCTAGGGAAAGAGCAAGCTCTAGGTCCAACGCACCCTCAGCTCTCCATCGCTCCTTCAAGCCCACTTCCTTCTTCTCTTCCACACCCACCCTCCCTCGTCCAAGATGATGTTCACTCGTGTCGCTGCCTTCGCGCTCGCTGCGCTCCCCGCCCTTGCGGCCGCCACCCCCCTCGCGGCGCGCACGGACTCGTGCTCGACGGGCCCGATCCAGTGCTGCCAGTCCACCGAGTCTGTGAGTGTCCCCCGCTACGACTGTGGAACTTGAAAACAGATCACTCACCCGACGTCGCGATGCAGTCGTCGTCCACGGCGGGCTCTCTCCTCCTTGGCCTCCTCGGCGTCGTCGTCCAGGGCGTCGACGTCCTCATCGGCCTCAACTGCTCGCCCATCAGCGTCGTCGGCGTCGCCTCCGGCAACACCTGCAACGCCCAGGCCGTCTGCTGCCAGAACAACAACGTCGTACGTGTCCCGCGCGTCCCTCTGTCGAAAGGCGGCCCAGCTGACAGTCGCTCGTGACAGGGCGGCCTCATCTCCGTCGGCTGCATCCCGGTCACCCTCTGATTTGCTTATCGGCGTAGTTGGCTGAGAGGTGGGGAGGGTGGAGTTTCGACGCACAGTGCCTGGTTTCTTGGTTTCGGAGTGTAGTTCGTTGACCTAATGGAATATTGCGCTCTTTCTTTCGAATGCTGGACTGCGTGCGAACGGTACATAGTCTGCGGGGACGTCGAGGGTTTGAGTGCGAACGATCTGTAATGTCGACCAGTACAGCCACGCCCGAGCATCAAACGGGGAAATATGTGAGCAGGAGAGCCTGGCGTTGAGGCTTCTGCCGGCGAAGGCTGTCGGCGCGGGGACGGGAAGATGGAAGCATCCGGTATACTCAAGCACACCGAACCCGCGCAGGATCGCGCAGCGCAACCTTCGGGATTAACTCCGCCCCCCAGAACAGGAGCCAGTTCGCCTAGCCCGAAGTACGGACTTCGTGCGCGTGCGTCGCGTCAGCGTTGTGATCGAAGCGCGGAGGAGAAGGAGGGAAGGAGACACCCTTGAACAACCTGTTAGAAGTCGGTGGTTCGGACGAGGTCGGACGAGGCAATCGATACCACGCGGTTGTCCTATGGCACCGGAGGCGAGTACAGACGGACGTGGGGAGAACGAGTGGTGGTGAAGGGCAAATGCGTGAGGCGAGTGCGGGACGAGGGACGATGGCTATCTACACGATGACTAAGCACAAGTAAGGTACGACCAAGCTTGCCATACACGTGAGCAGATTCCAACACAACCTTGAAACGGACGCCTGGGATAGCGCGAAGAGTGAGGTCAGCGAGGCGCCGTTTGCGGCTGCTTGCTCTCCCCGTTCATCTTGAACTTAGTCTTCTCTTCCCCTCAGTTCGCCCATGCTGCACCGGAGATCTCTGAGCCGTCCTAAAAAGTAACACACGACGAAATTGACCTCATCCGTGCGGCGAACTGCCCGCAGAATACAAATTCTCTAATTCCAAGAACATCCACGATCCAGCGCTCACCCTGCTTTCTCGCAACCTTGGTCGGCGACGTAGCGTCTACAAAGCCATGACAGTCCACAAGAGCCTTCAAACCCTCGTCTTTCTTGTCGATACTGGCATCTCGGAAGACCAATCCGCACTCTGCGAGGGAGCCGGGTGGCAGGGCCTCTGGAGCGAGGACTACAGGCTTCGAGGTGGTGAAAAAAAACAGGTGCACCACTGCTCGTAGTTGGGTGAGGCTGTCTTTGACTATACCCTTACCGCGGGGATGCAGCCATGATCTCCACGCGATCGATGGGCCAACGTTCGTCATGTGGGATTTCGGGGTCGTAGGACGCGATCGGGACAGGTCGGAGGGTGAGGGCGTCGCGCTTGGGCTCCTCTGGGCACCGGGGACAGGCGGACGGACGGCGGATGCGCGGGAGATGATGGTGGATAGGAGCAAACGCGTACCTCCGAGCTGAACAGTTCCTGGTGCATATCATTGCAATAAAAGGGCACACGATCCTGAGGTAAGTTTCTTACCAGGTTTAACCTACGGTCGTTCGGGCTCATGCTGCGCAGGGTCTCGTCTTGTGATTGCGAGGCTCTCTGACAGCAGACCACTTGCCGTGCCCACACCCTGGAATGGAATCCGCACCGCGTCCGCTTCCCTGCGTCGCCTTCCGTCGAGCACGAGTTCGGGCTCACAGGCCCCTACCGGTCGAATCGGCGTCCGCCCACTCCCGCTCTGCGGCCGGTGCTGCGGCCGTCCTCGACGCTACTTCCGTGCACCACCGCGCAGCCGACGTCTCATCACGCGTACAGCCCATCGGCCTCGGCGACCACGCGCTTTGCGCGCGACTTCGGCCCACCGGCCTGGTACGTTCGCTGATATTCGCCCGGGGCCGCGAGCGAAAGGTGCGCCCCGAGTCCCACACCCCCGCCCTTCATCCCGTCTCATGTTCTGCTGCTCCGCTGGCACGCGCCAGGAGGATATTGATACGACCCTTGCGTTCGCCAAGAAGGCGCTCGAGGTCGGCCAGGAGGTGCTCCAGGTGGTCCCGGTTCCGTATGTCGCTGACGGCGTGAAGGTTCTGATCAAAGTTGTGGAGAAAGTCGAGGTGCGCCGCCAGCTCATGGCCCCTTATCTCGTATGCTCATCCCCGTCGTCCTCCCTTACAACGACGCCTTCGCTATTCGTTCCACAGGAAGTCCGGTCGACCAAGAAAGGGCTCCAAGAGTTGGCGAAAGATCTGGGGAACCTCGCTGGCATACTGCAGAGCGCGTCTGAGCAGATTCAGAGGAAGGTCGACGCGAGCGGGCCTGAGAAACTTCAGGATCTAGGCGAATCCGTGGGTGATAGGACGATGAAGTTCCTGAGGTGCGTCACAGCCTTTCTGTATGCGATCCAAGCGTCCTCAGCTCCCTGTAGCCAGGTTGAAGAGCTGCAGAGTGAAGCGCAAAGGCTATACACAGGCCCATGTTGGCGTCGATGCTTCCATAGTGCACGCGATGCGGAGACGCTGAAGGACATGCAAGAAAAAGTGGTTCAGATCACCAGGTTTTTCCAGGTGAGCTTGCTTGTTCCCCGCTCAGCGTCGTCGCTCACTGCGCGCACACAGGCCGACTGTCTCGTTGAATCACCAGGGATGGACCAGCTTATTGAAGGGATGAGGAGGGTGGAGGTATGGTTGAAAACGTAGCGTCGGCGGTAGAGGTGCGTGTCTGACAACGGGTCTCGGCTTCTGACACTGATGTGATTCCACAGAGAGTCGAGGTCGTTCAGATTCAGCACAGTGAGTGCATATAGTCATTCAGGCCGCTCGTTGTATGTTGCTTATTTGCGTGGTGGCGAACAGAACGCGACGACGACTCGAGAAGCTACTGCGAGCCGATGCTGGATATCGTGCCTCACTAACAACGCGAAAAGCAAGTTCCTTCCTGGCACACGCGAAGAACTATTCGAGCAACTCTCCCAGTGGGTTCGCGGCGAAGGCGCGGACGTCGAGGGCCGGTTCATCTGCCACCTCTCCGGCGTTGCGGGCGCAGGAAAGTCTACCATGCCCGCGAGTTCGCCGAACGCCAAGATTTTGACCTGGACTCGCGGCGTCATTCTTCTTCGCTCGCGACGTCGCGGACTGCTCCAACACTCGCCTTTTCTTCCCCACCATCGCCTACCAAGTCGCCGCTCTCAGGAGACATCACCCCTCATTGTCGACGCCGTCGGGAGCATCTCACACGCGGCCAGAGTCAACAGATGCAATATGAAGCGAAGGCCCTCTTGACCACGCCGTTTCACTCGTCGATCCCTCGCATCGTCCATCGTCTTCGTCGTCGACGCCCTCGATGAATGCGTCGAACCCGTGGACCGCTCTCTCCCCAGTCTTTTGGTCAAGCTCCTCGTCGACTGTGCGCAGCAAGCACGCTTTACGGTGAAGATTTTGTTCACGAGCCGTCCCTTGGATCCCATCGAAAGAGCTATATCTGCCAGCATCGACTCTCCACAGGACAAGATCTACTCGCTCGACCTCAGTAAGCAGTCCCCCGCATCCGTGCTCGAGGACGTCAAGCTGTTCCTCAGAGACCGGCTAGCAACAGCGTTCCGGCCACGAATGCTGAGGAACCGCGGCGACCTCGTCGATCGTCTGGCAGAGCGCTCGGAGGGTTGATGGTCTACGCAGACACGGCCGTCAATTTCCTTGCTGAATACCCCGAGGACGTGGAGAACGCGCGGAGTATCTCTTCTCCAACCCCAAACGATCCGAACTGCTTGGGCCTCTCAACGACCTCTACCTGAAGGTGCTCGAGATGCGTTCCCAAGAGACAACATGGAGAACGAGGAGCCACTGCGGGATCGCGTGCAGACGATGCTCGGGACCATCGCGCTCCTGAAGGACCGCTTCTCGCCGAACGACCTCGAAAGGCTGCTGTCTACGCCCACGAAAACATCCGTATCCGTTCTCCGTCACCTTCGCTCCGTCGTGTTATTCGACCGCAGCGACCTCGACGCGGCGTTCCGCCCCATCCACATCACCTTCTCCCAGTTCCTCGTCGACGTCCACCCAAAGTACGACAAGGGACCCTACCTCGTGAAGACGGTGCGCGAGCACGGACGCATCGCCGCGGGGTGCCTCGACACCCTCGTGTCTTCCCTGCACCAGAACCCGCTCTGTGTAGCGTCTGGGACGAGGCGGTCGGGCGTCCCAGACGTGGAGGAGCGCGTGGCTGCCGATATTCCGAAACACGTGCGGTACGCGTGTCTGCACTGGGCAGGGCACCTCGCGCAGTCAGACGAGAACGCGAAGGACGTGTATGCGGCCCTGGACAAGTTCGCGAAGTCGGTGCTGTTGCAGTGGGTGGAGACGATGGCGTGGATGGGCCGGATGGACGCGGTGACGGCGTCACTGAATAGGGCTATCGCGTGGCAGGTGCGTCGGTCTGTTTTTCTCGCCCGTCGGAGGCTGATGGCGGCTTGCTTGACAGAAGATCGGTCGTACACGGAAGGTGATGGAGAGCGTGCAGGCGTGGCTTGCAAGGAGCACCCTGAGATGGTGAAGGACCACCCTGAAGCCATTTACCAGTGCATCGTCAACCAGGAGGATGGACCGTCGGCTGTTAGGCAGGCGACGCACGATTCTGCCACGCTCTCTCTGGTAGACGAGTGATAGACTAGTTCATGGTTGGCTGTTGTTGCCCTCTCGACTTCATGATTTTGTACTCCTTCCTCCCTCCCGGTCATCGTAGTCATGCACACGCACAACCATCAACTATATGCGTGTGTCCCCCAGCATCTCACCTTGCGTGCATTCTTCGAGAGTTCAATAGGTGCCTGACGACGCTCTTGCCTCCCGCCACCACTGTATCCCCGACTGCACTCACGCCTCCTCCGGTCCCGACCCTCACATCCTTCTCTGGCACGCTTCCTAGTGTTGGCCAGCCCCGTTCTTCTACAGTGTGGTGGACCAATCTCTCATGCCAACCTGCAAGTCATCCTCCGTCTTGACTGGATCACAACATGGAAATTGAAGCCGGCGGCAGAGACTAGGTACGCCCTGTTCCTGCATTCCTTCCCCCGACGCAAATTGTCGACACCCTTCTAGCCTGCAGGACCTCTTTCATGTCGCTTATCGCAAACCCCTATCCGAACCCATCCAGGGCACGGCCCCTGCAGGCCTGCGAGGGGGCAAGTACATGGCCTCATGTCGCGGTCGCAGCCTGCTCGACCGTCATCTCCGTCCCTACGCCCAGCGTCCCTTCCACGCTGTCTCCTGTGCCCCGTCGGTCCACCAGCACGCACGACCGGTGATAATGACGGAGGACGGGACTGGTGAGGTGCACACGTCTCTTTCTCCCTGCGTCCTTCCCCCATGCAAGGCTGCTTTCTTTCCAACCGCGCCTGCGAAGAACCCGCCAACGACCCCTTTGCTCGTGCCAGGTCCGCTCTCGACGCCGCGAGGCAAGGTCTCGCGCTCGCACCCATCCCCAACCTGTCTTCGGCTGTGGACGCTCTCAATGGCGTCGTCCAGAATGTCGAGGTACGACCTCTCGAGCTCCTCTCCGTGCTCTGACCGGGTGTTCACGCTCTGTTGTCGTGCCTTTGCAGAGGGTGTCGTTGTCTCCGCTGAAGAAGACGAGGTGGATGAAGGAGTGGCTCGGAAGTCTGGCCGTGGAGATCCGCGAGCTCGCAGAGCTCATCAAGACCGCACCCACCGACGTCCAAGGTCGCCTCGGCACGATTCCTGCGGAGAAGCGCCAGCCATCTTGGACGACCTCAACCGGTCGGAGCGGCTGGTCGAGGAGACCGAGTCCTTCCTCAGGTGCGTATTCTTGTCAGTTTCACGTCTTGCCGTTGTCGACCCTGCTGCAGAGGGTTGGAAAAACTCGGAGAAGGCGCAGAGGAGCTGCAGAAGGGAAATCTCCTCCGTCAATTGGTATTCAGCTCGAGGGACGTGAAGATGTTGAAGAAGCTGAAGACAGGAGTCGCGAGCCTCGGCGCATATTTCAGTGTGCGTACTCTCCACCCGCGTTTGAAGCCTCATTCTTATGTTCCCATAGGCCACTGCCTCGTCACAATAAACCAAGATATCAACACTGCTCTTCAACTTCAAGCCGTCCGGAGATTAGAAGTTGTCATTCAAAAACTGTACCAGAGACCCAGGTAAGTCATATGATCCGTCTGGAGTGTAGCAGGCGATGACAGTACGTCGTTGCGCCAGGCCGAAAATGTGCCTCAACTCAAACTAGATCCCCCGAAACGTAAGCTCTTTCTTACTCTCGTTACTTGGACGTCCTCGCCTACATCACACACAGTCGAAACCGCGCCAGAGCCCGAAGTCACTCCGGCACCCGAACCCGAAGCACCCGTTCCAGTGGTCGAGGAGGAGCCCGCCCCCTCCCCCGTCGAGCAACTAGTCGCCGAAGGGGTCGCTGAGTCTGTTCCAGAGCCCGTAGCCCCACCTGTGGAGGAGGACCCTGCCCCCGTGCCCCAACCCAAACGAGAACCCGCAAAACGTAAGCTTTCACTAGCTTCCAGCATCACGTCTTCGCTTATGTCACACACCACCCAGGATACGACGATGTGTTGGAGCGACTGCCACGCGCTCTTGTGGGATATGAGAGTCACCTCAAGGAGCCGCAAAAAAGGCTTCTCCCCGGAACGCGCCAAGACGCGGTCGCAGAACTGTCCCGATGGGCCACGGGCCAAGAAGTAGATGTCTCCACGCAGACTATATGCGTCCTCACCGGTGCGCCTGGTCTCGGCAAGTCGACCATCGCAGCGGACTTCGCACAACGCCTCGGCCATCGGCTCGGGGCCTCGTTTTTCTTTGCACGTGGCATCGCCGACACGTCCTCCACTCGACTCTTCTTTCGCACCATCGCCTACCAGCTGGCGTACTCGCAAGGCGACCTCCATGACGTCTTCGCCAAAGCCGTCCGAGACCACATCCACGACATTGACGACCTCCTTCCCCAAGATACAGGGAAGATTCTTTTCCGGGACCCGCTTCTCTTGGCTGAGCCGCGAGATGACGATCCAGTCTTCCTCGTCATCGACGGTCTGGACGAATGTTTTGACACGTACAAGACCGGGCCTTCGAAGATGATCGAATCACTTGTCTCCAGCGTCCGACAAGCACCATTCCCGCTCAAGATCTTCTTCACATCTAGTCCTGGTGACGTTGTTGACACGACCGTCATCGCCAACGTCAAACTTGTGGACACGGTTCATATCGTGGACCTCAACCAGCAACCTCTTGAGTCGGTGGATCGCGATATCAGGCTTCTTCTTAGACATCGCCTTTCCACCGTCGTCTCCGAGCCTCTTCTCGACGCTTGGCTAGGTGGGCGGACAAGAACTTCCTGTATGCCGATGTGGCAGCCCGCTTCCTGGTAGAAGACACCACCGACATCAACAGCCGTGCGGAGTACATTATCTCCACCTCTGAACGAAGTCGAGCGCTCGGCCCGCTCAACGACCTCTACCTCAAGATCCTCGAGGCGCCTACCCGCGGGACGTCATCCACGCGGAGCCGCAGACGTGCGAAGACGTGCAGGCCGTGCTCGGCGGCCTGGCGCTCCTCCGCGACGCCCTCTCCCCCAACACCTCCAAACCCTCCTCGGGCGACGATCAAGAAGCCAGCCCCGTCCTCCACCGCCTCAGCGCCGTCGTCGACTGCAATCCCAACGACCCCGACGCGCCCGCCCGCGCGCTGCACGCGTCCTTCGCGCGCTTCCTCGTCGACGTCCACCCAAAGTACGACAAGGGCCCGTACCTCGTCCGCACACGCCGCGAGCACGGCCGCCTCGCCGCCGCATGCCTCCGCGCGCTCATCGCCCTCGCGCGGGCCGCGGGCTGGTCCGCCGCACGCGCGGTACGCGTGCGTGCACTGGGCGGCGCACCTCGCGCAGTCGGACCGGACGAGCGAGGTGTTCGGGCTCGTGGCGAGCTTCGCGCGGGGGGCGCTGCTGAGGTGGGTGAGGCCGTCGCGGAGATGAAGAGGTTGGACGTGGTCGACGGGGCGCTGGAGAAGGCGTCGGCGTGGCAGGTGCGTTTCTCGTCCTCGGTGCGGGTGTTCGTGCGCTGACGCGCGCGCGGTGCAGGAAATCGGGAAGATTCGCGGGTTGCTGGATGCGGTGCGGAAGTGGGTGGGCGAGCATCGGGACGCAGTCAAGGTGCGCCCCTAGCGCTGTGTACGAATGTG